GGGCTTCGGGCCGCTGGGCGTGGCGCTGCGGGGCAACCTGGTGGCCCAGTGGTGGGACGCGGCCCTGGCTTTCCGGGAGCAGGTGTTCGCAGTGGATGCCCCGCTCCACAGCCCGCCCGATGCTCCGCGAGCCGGGCAGGGTCTCCGGCTGCTGCACTCGGAGACGCTGCGAGAAGCCCTCCAGGGCAGGGGCTGTAGCCGCGAGCCGGGCGGTCCATCTGTGGAAGACGTGCTAGCGAGCGTGGGGATGCTTCGTGAGAGCTTGCTTCCCGGTAGGTCCCTCGTCCGTCACCGCAGGGGTGAGGCGGGGCTTTGCAGAGCTCTGGCCACCCTGGACGTCTGCTCGCGTTTGTCTTGCTGGGAGTGAAGCAGCTGCGTTTAAGGGAATTTTCCATTTGTGTTAGAGCGCTGGGAAAGTTTCAGCTGCATGCTGTGAGTTTGTGTCCCTTTCAAGGATCTGAGCAGCGTGAAAGCCGAAGTGCTCATCACATGCTTTCCCTTGTAATCAGGGGAAACAGAGCTCTGGCCACCCTGGACGTCTGCTCGCGTTTGTCTTGCTGGGAGTGAAGCAGCTGCGTTTAAGGGAATTTTCCATTTGTGTTAGAGCGCTGGGAAAGTTTCAGCTGCATGCTGTGAGTTTGTGTCCCTTTCAAGGATCTGAGCAGCGTGAAAGCCGAAGTGCTCATCACATGCTTTCCCTTGTAATCAGGGGAAAGGCACATTAAGATCATAGCTGCTGAACTACCCGGAGGAATCAGGCTACAGACTGCTGCGCTAATTTCTGCAAAGCGTTTGCGCTAGTTGGACTGCACATACAAACGGTAGAAAATGAAAATTTTTCCCGCGGCTACTAAAATTAGCGATTTGTCTTTTGACAGGTGCTTTGGCGCAGTATGTTAACTGCTTAGAATTGGTGAACAGAAGACTGCCTTGTGGCCTCGCTCAAATTGGAGTATGCTTTCACTCTATTTCAGAAAGTGAACAACACGACAAAAACCTTAGAAGGTAGAGTAATAGGGGCATTAATCCATTTCCATACGTAAACCAACTGTTTACACTTGTTTTACTTTTGGATTGTTTTTGAATGCTTTCTCTTGCTTTTTTCCTGTTATTTTTGAAGGAGTTAACTTGCTGACCTTGCTATTGTTTAAAGAATAGGCGAAAGGACCACGTCTTTGCTTGCATGGTTTAGTTCCCCCAGAACTGCAGGACAGTGGCTTGATTACTGGTTACGCCAGAGACTTCAATGGTGGAGAAAGGTAACAGCAGCATACTCGTGGGAAATCTTGGCCTGCTTCTTTATATCTCAAAGAGAAGGGGGAATAGACACCCTGATCATTTTTATGGCGTCATATGGCTATTCCTGTCACTGAAATACATTTATTTCTTGTGATAAACCAAAAAAGCTATTTAAGTTTATGACAAGTAGTTAAGTAGTTTACTGCATGACTTGTGGAAAGGCACATGGTTTGTGTTTGTAAGTGATTTGAGATGAAAATGCTGTAGAGCAACAAAGAGGTTTGGGCTGTAATTTATAAAAATCTTTTGTGGAAAATCAAAGACACCAGCTTGCATTAGATTTGTTTTTTGTAGTTAATACAGCGTGCAGAGCAGTGATCACCTCTTACGTCTTTTATTTTCAGTTTGCAGTAGGCCCATCTAACTTCAGCAGCAGTGACTTTCAGGATGAAGAAGGAAGAAGAGGATTTAATTTACATTATAGCTTTCCTTGGGGAACAGAAACAATAGAAACACTGAAGAACCTTGGTGATACTGACCTGTTACAGACGTATCCAGGGGATAGTTCAAAATTACTTGTAAGCTTTACTGTATTAAAAATCTTTTTTGATAAAGATGATAACGTGTGAGAGAAATGGTTTCTTTGCTGGTCCAGTTGCTTAGCATGTGACTGCCTTTTTATTCTTTTGTTGTAAAAGCAGTATAATTGATACTCTGCAGTCAGACCTTCATTTTCAAAAGCAGATAAAACAGCATTTTTGGGGGTTTTTGCAAGGAGTTAATTCTTTGAAATTAGAAATCAGCTATATTGACAAGACAGCTGTTGTCATTTGCATTGCCTTTACCCATATCTGTGAGTAGATGTCAAGACAAACTGGGTCTGTGTTTTGCAGTGTTAAGTTTGCATCAAAAAGAACCTGTAAATGTTTTTTTTCTTTTTGTAGCTTGTCCAGTTCCATATATGTAGAAGTATATGTGGATTAGTGGATTATAAACACTGCAAATGGCTTTATAGAAGTTACCGCACTCAGAAGGGGGAATGCACCAGAGAGAAACCTTCCCACTGACTGTATTGGAGAGGGACAAACTTCTAGTGAATGGCAATGTTTGAAAAGATAAAACAAGAGTAACTTGGTATTTTACCAGTAAATTGCAACCTTTTTCTCGTGACAGTCCTGTCTGCCTTCCCTGGTTTTGCAGGTTATTTCTATACAGAAGGCAGAAGACTGCAATGTGACCTACAAAACTGTGGATTACATAGTGATTTCTCAGAATGTGGAGATATATCCTTGTGGTCACTTGGAAGTAACCTCCAAAAGAAAATGCAGAGTTTTAAGTGTATTTGCCATAGGTTTAAATTTATGATCAGAGAGGCAGGATGAGAAAATAATCCCATCCTGCTCTGATCTGCTTTCCCCAGTTTTACAGTCTTGTCTAGTTACTGTTACACTTTTAAGATTGCTGTTAACTTTTTAAAATAGATGTGTGATTCTATTTTAAATGTAATAAGGGTGCTTGAGCTCAATGCCTTGTTATATATTTAAAGTAAACAAAAGGCCCTTTGAGGTATTCCTTTGTGGGTTTTTTTTTTTCCCCCCCCTCTTCAGGGACGAGATGGAAGGAAGAATGTTATTCCTCATGTTTTGTCTGTGAGTGGAAATCTGGACCGAGGAGCATTAGCATACCTCTTTGATTCTCTACAGCTAGCTGACAATCCACTAACAAAAAAGAAAAATTCACAGAGAAAGGTAACTTTCTGTAGAAAGTCCAAGGAAGAATGGATGATGGAAGGCTGCGGCAGGTCTAAGTACAAAACGCACAGACACTGTGGTAAATTCAAGCATGGAAATATCTCCCTTTTCCGCATCTCCATCCTCTGTTCCCTTCCCCAACAGGTGCAGGCAGAATGCTTTTCACTGGTAATAATAGGCTGGCCCCGTGGGACTGCCTCTGAAGTCCTTTTTACCCACATAAGCAATTTTTCTCTCATTCTGAGGTCACCCTTCCTCTTTTGCCTTCTTTCTCTCTGATGAGTAGGTAGGCACTTGCCAAGTGATGAAAGAGTTAAGAGGAATTGGAATGCTGCTCTGCATGGGAAAGAGGAGTTTGTCTCTTCCAGCAGCATTCGAAGGTTGCTGAGAAGCATAGAACAAGTGGGTTGCAGGTGGTAATGGGACATTTCCCCAAGGACTGTCATTATTCCCACTTTTACCCTGGTTTTCTGGAGTTAGAGTGCTAACTTTCAGACAGCACTTGTTAATCAAACATCCATTTGGCCTTTAAGAACAGGCAGACTAGATGGTAACTGCTGGGCTGTCTCTGATCACTCTGGCTCCATTAAAGATGATGGAGTTCTGCTAACAAATCTCTTTTCTGGGGCTCAGCCAAAAGGGAATTTCTGCCGTGCTAACCTAGCTGGCATGTGTGCTAGTTACGTGAAATACAGCTTACTTCTAATGCAGGATTTTGTGCTATAAGAACATTTTGCATGTTTAGAACCTTAATTTCAGTGAAAAAAAATTTCAAATGGCTTTTTAATATTTCCTAGTTCTGTTTAGAATTTCACACTGAATACATTTAGTAATTACGACGCTTTTTGTAAAATTCGTAGGTACTTAAGCTTCATCCTTGTTTAGCACCTCTTAAAGTGGCCTTGGATATAGGAAAAGGTCCAACAACAGAGCTGAGACAGGTATGTTGCAAGAAAGTATTTTAATTTTGAGCATTGACTTTCCATTCTGTTACAATTCAGACACTGTTTACGTCGGGGAAAATCATGCTGCTGCTTTGATTCTAGGAGATTCATGGTTGTACAGATTTCAGAGTGTTTCTGCTATGCAGCTTGTGAGTCATAGCCAAAGGAGTACACTGCAGACAGTGGGTAGTAGATGCCTTCCTTGTTTTAACACACTGCTTTTAGTACTACTAATAGAGTTTATATTTGTTCCATGCAAAATTAAGGAAAATAAATAACAAAATCCCTCTCAGCTTCTTAATCTCTCAGAATTTTCTTAACGCATGGGTAACATCTTTAGAAGGGTTTTTTCTTAAGTCAGTCATTAAGCCAGTCCCCACATAAGGGAGAAGACTTAGACTGGCATGTTTTTAAATAGAAACGGAGATTTAATTGCCAGACTGCTTCCTACTTTGTTGAGGTTATTTCAGCCAGAGAATTAACACCAGCTAGGAATGGTAATACCACACGTACTAGAGTTTTAATGGTTTCTTTGCATAAGATTTCAAATCCTCAAAGTCTGTCTTTTAACTTCTGTTTTTAAATAAACACAGGTTTGTCAAGGATTGTTCAATGAACTGTCAGAAAATAGAATTTCTGTATGGCCGGGTTATCTTGAAACCATGCAGGTATCTCTGGAACAGCTTTATACAAAGTAAGGAGAAACAGTCTTTTGTAAATTAAACTGTGAAGGTGAAAGATGACTTTCTGTGGACTAGCGAAAATATGCCTGTTTTCAGTAAGAAGTCATCGAGTGCAGTAACCACATGACTGAAGGCATGTATCCTGAACTATAAACTTGGATTCAATTAATTTTATTAAGAGGAGCAATGTTAGATAGTTCATTTTTAAAATTAAGTGAAGTTTAAGCCTTTTCCATGTTATTTTTGTTTCTCTGGAACTGTGAAATACCTTTTAGAGACTGTACTATTGAAAATAAATTTCTTAAGATGAGTCATAAACTCGCAGAACTGTTTCCCACCCTCACCTCCATTTTTGGGCTGGTTCTGTGTTTCATTCAGTACTATTTCAAATAGCACGCTGTGTCTAGTGTTGAACTCAAAAGTTCTTCCAAGCCTGGAACCATTACCATTAGTGTATGTGATGGCATTATTTATGCAGGTAAAAATTACTTTTCCAGTTGAGGGCTTCATATATGATTTGTTGATCAGGAGTGAATTTTGAGCCTATTGCTGCTCGTGTCAATGGATCTTGAGCATGTTGATGAGTATTTTTGCCCAGGAGAACATAAATATGACTGTTTATGTGCAGGTAAGTCTAGCTATTAAATAACAGAAGAAAGATATATTTTGCTTCTACAAAAATACTCTTATAATAGGTCACTAAGTAACAATCTTCTTAGATACTAAAGTAACTGAATAAGTTAAAGAAATGTAATCAGGAAAGCAAGGAATGGCAACATTCTGGTGTCTTCACACTGGACTTAGTGCAGTATAGCAAAGATAAATATTTACAGCTTATGGCCATTTGTACATAACTTATCTGAATTTTTTGTACACCAAAAGCAGTAAGAGGTGTGCTCTTTTCTTTGCAGGTACGATGAGATGAGTGTTCTCTTCACGGTCTTGATAACTGATGCCACTCTAGAGAATGGAGTGGTCCAGCTGAGAAGCAGAGACACCACCATGAAGGAAATGATGCACATCTCTAGGCTGAAGGACTTTTTAACTAAGTATGTAACATCAGCCAAAAATGTGTAAACTTACATTTGTTCAATAAAAGGAATTTCTTAAACATTTGTGACTGAACTGGCTTGTATGATGTCATGGGCACAGTGGTTTCTCTGCAAATAGTTCTGCTAAAACTTGGTGGGACATCTGTTTTCTGTCAAATCTAGACCTTCTGGGTTACCTTGAAAAGAGGGAAGAGACAAACTTGTCCCTCGTTAGCAGGGCTAACCATATTCTGTTTCATGTCTTCAGTTTTATTATCTTACTGAAAATACTCCATCCTAACCTAAAAATTCATCTTTCATCTGTGTATTGCTGACATAATTATAGTCTCTGCTGGAAAATGGTATTTTATATTAAAGACTTTCAAATCTTAAATTTTAATAACATCAGTAAGTATCTTTCTACTGTCTGTTTGTAGGAATGTATTTTAATCACATGGCCTCAGTTCTTCAACATTTAAGCCACTACATCTTGCACTTGATAAACATAAAAATCAGAAAAACATTATCAAGAGTAACAGAGGAAACAGAAGAAATAAATTGTAAACAGGTTTTGACAAGCTTTTTTGTGGACAAAAAATGTTTTTACATAGAAAATGGTGGAAAAAGACTAATGTGTGATCATAGTTATCCTATACTTAAGTGCTGTAGTCAAAATCAGATGCAAGAGTTTGCAGAGATACGAAATTGAGCTATTCTGATGTTCTGTAGATTTACTACATGTGTACAGCTTGTGAAGCCACTGTATTAAAGTGCTTTAGGTGTATGCAACAAGGCATGGGGCCACTGATACACAGCAATGTCATGAAACAAAAGAACTTGCCTTAAAAATCTCTTCTATTAATGTGGTGCCTATTTAACTATAAACAGGTTATTTGTAAGTGATTAACACTAAATAATATTAATTGCTGCATTGTGTAATTATGCTAGATAAAATGCAAGGTTAGAATAGTGTAGCAGTGTGATTTACTGAACTCATGGAATTCTACATAAGCTGGCTATGGAATGACGTTAAAACAATCCACAAACATCTAAGAAACAGCCTATAGCAGGATGCAGAATTTGTTTTGGAGTTAACTGTCCCAAAAGTTAATTTTAGCATCCTATCCCTCCTCTGACAGCTGAAGTAATGTTGAACTGAGAAATTGCTATCCTTGCTGCTAGGTAACAGCAGGTACAGAGGCCAAATATGGATCTGCTAGCGTGTGCCTAAGAGGGTAACACAGTTGGGATTTTTTTTTTTTATTTTATTATTACTTTGCTAAAGCCTTTTGATTATCTTATGTTTGCTTACAATCCAGTTTCTACTTCAGGAGAATTGTTAAATGTACCAGAACTTGAGTCTGGGTGAAAGCTTTACATCATCTATTCCTTTCTGTTTATTCATCAGATGCATATAATGCCAAACTATATATTGTGTCTAGCAGGATCTTACCCGACAGTGATTGCATTGTTTAATTTTGTTTTTTATGGTGGTATTTGGGCAATAAACTGTTTGTCTAATGGGACTGCTATTTGGGTCTCGGCTAATTCCAATTTTTTTCCATTCTGCTTTTTCTTTTAAGTTGGAGGCCCTAGAGATTATGACTTCAGGATTTTGCTTGCTAGTAGAGAATGAGCTATATTGTCTCTCTACAAAATAATCAGGCCAGGAAACTAGTATCTAAACATCATCTCTTTCTGTGCAGACTTGGTGGTACTTACCACATCTGAAGACTGAAAGATTCTTTAAAAATACATGATTAAGTGAATCACAAAAGAGATCTTACCTTGTACTCAATCTCTGATGAGGACCTTTGAATAAGCTGTAGCACATGTCCTCTTCTCTGCTAAAAGCCAGAAGAACATAATTCATAATTGCTTTTTTTGGTACGGATACACAGCAGAAGAACTGATAGTCCGTCAGCAGCTTGGTCACTAATAACAACTCCTGCATGGTTTCATAATGAGGCTGTTGAATTTTTGGGTCGTTGGATGGTGATAGGCTTTTTATTTGAGTTTTTTTGTTTGCTCCCTCCTCCCTGCAATGTCTTAAAGTTATTTTAATTTCTACAAAGTAAGCAATTTCAGTATGTAACTGCTACTATCTAAACCCTGCCTCCCCCCAGCAAAACCCCCTAAAAACATACTTGGGCGCATCAGATGTTCCAGTATTATAGATTGAGGTTTTCACCTTTTTCATCTTCTCTTCTAATAACAGAAATGTTGATGTATTCTTCTTCTGGTTTAACAGGCTCTGGATTAAAGATGATGAAGAACAGTTAACTCAATTACAAGAGACTGACCAGATTTTTTTTTTTTTTTTAGTAATCTTGAAGGAAAGCAGCGAGATTCTGTATTGAATATAAATCTACCATGCTTTTTGTAGCGTTCCTGCGCCTTATCTCAGCTATTGTTATGGCGGGGAACATTGTCTCCGAGGTCAAGGCTGAGATACTTAATGCCTTCTTTGCCTCAGTCTTCAATAGCCAGTCCAGGTATCCGTGGGATATTCAGCCCCCTGAGCTGGAAGATGGG